CTGTTTCTGAATTAGAGTCCATCGGTGGTATAAATGGTTAAGTGTCTGGCTACTAACAGAAAGGGTGGTGGTTCAAACCGAGAAGCTCCTCAGAAGAAAGGCCTGGCAGTCTTATTTCTGTGAGATCACAGCCGTTGAAAACCCTATGGAGCATAGTTCTACTCTGAAACACAGGGGGCAGCCATGAGTTGAAATCAACTTGATGCTAACTGTTTTTTTTGTTTGTTTGTTTCAATTGTTCCAAGAAAAAATTCTCATTGAATTTAGATTGATAATGCATTACATTTGTAAAATTAATTTTAATATTTAAATGAATTCATTTTTAAGATAATTGAAATCTTAATGATGTTGAGTCTTCCCATGTAAGAACATGGCATGTTTCTATTTATTCTATTTATTCAGGTTTTCTTTTCTGTCTCACAAGTAAATATTGTGATGCCTATAGTTAGTTTATATAGGGCTATATTCAATAAGGTCGGTACGAATCAGAATTGACTTGACGGCAATGGGTTTGGTTTTTTATTTTATTGGTAGGACTAAGGAGCCTGGTGGTGCAATGGTCAAGTGCTTGGCTGCTAACTGAAAGGTCGGTGATTTAAACCCACCAGCAGCTCTGTGGGAGAAAAGACCTGGTGATCTGCTCCATAAAGATTTCAGCCTAGTAAGCCCTACAGAGTAGTTCTGCTCTGTCCTGTATGGTCACTATGAGTCGGAATCAACTCAAGGCACACAACTACAACATTGGAGGACCGATGTCTCTAGGTGGCACAAACCTTTTGCACTCAACTACTGACCTAAAGGTTGGTGGTTCAGATTCACCCATTGATGTCATGGAAGAAAGACCTGGCAATCTGCTTCCATAAAGATTACAGCCAAGAAAACCCTATGGACCAGTTCTACTCTGTAACGTGGGGTTGTCATGAGTCGGAATTGATTCTATGACGTGGTTTGTTTTTTTTTAATTGTTAGGACTAAACTGAGATATGCTAGTTTCAGAGAAAAATATCTTGCCCCTTTCAAGTAGGCAGTTCCTTCATCTTGTTGCATCTCTGGTTTGGTTTGTGTGGCCTCGGACTGGTTTGGTTTGGACTTGGTCCTTGGTTTACTTGAGCTTGCTTCGTTGGTGGGCCTTGGACTGGTTGTCCTTGGTTTACTTGAGCTTGCTTGGTTGGTGGGCCTTGGACTGGCTGTCCTTGGTTTACTTGAGCTTGCTTGGTTGGTGGCACCTGGAAGTCCCAAGGTGAGGATTGTGAAGATTGTTGGCCCTGCTTGACCCTGGAATTGAGAGCCAGTGGGATCTGGACCCATTTATAAGATTTGGATCAGTTTTGCTGGTTTCAGTGATGGCGACCAGTTCTGTCTGATGTAAGCTTTCGGTTCCAGCATCCACTCCTGCATCTCTGGAGCTCTCCTGGTGTCTGTTGGGTGGATCGCTAGTGCACTCAGCCTGTGGTGGACTGACGAGAGAGGACTTACTGGGGTTGGGCCAGATGAATGTTATTTTCACTCCTGGATATTTGCTGAACCGTTTTTCTCCATGTTTGATGATTTGAAAGTGTGATGTTGGCATTTAGGTTATCAGTGGTCCTGTGTTTTTTATAGTTACTTTTTAAAAATCTGCTTGTCCTCCAGTTCTATTTTGTTAACATCTTTTCTCAGTTTGTCTTTATACGTGCCTTCTCACTCTGTGAGTAAGAACACATGTAGCCTCTGGTATCATCAGTACATTATTCAATTTAATTTTTTAAATTAAAGGTGTCCTATCCCCTTTTGGGAAGGCCTAGACGTAATTCTGAGGTATCCCTGGTGGTGCAGTGGTTAAAGTGCTCAGCTGCTAACTGAAATACCAGTGGTTCAAACCCACCAGCTGTTCCTCTGCAGAAGACAGATGTGGCAGTCAGCTTCCATAAAGATTTACAGCTTTGGAAACCCTATGGGGCAGTTCTCCTCTACCCTATAGGGTTGCTATGAGTCGGAATCACTGGCATTGGGTTTGGCTTGGTTTTTTGGGTTTAGACATTATCCCAGGCCTGTGTGGGTGAACAGGTTGACTATCCTGTTGGGATTTGTTGAATATCTAAATAGTCAGTGTTATTACTGTAAATATTTAATGCGAGAAAGCTAAACAAAAGGAAAACTTCATATTAGCTCAGGAATTTTGGAAGATATCAAAGATACCAAGCTGGAATGAAGAGGCCCTTTGTTTTTGAAATATTTTGGAAGTAAATTACGATGTTATTTATTTTTGCCAAAATTAGTGTATTCGTTATGATCTCAAGTTTCTGGTGTGTCTGACTGCAAGGCTCCATGAGAAGCGCCATTAGCTTGATAGGCTGGTAGCCCTGAGTGAGTTCCACTCTGGATGTGAGCGGGTTTTCCCTCTGCATGTGAAGCATGTTGTCTGTGCTGCAGGGGTCTGTGCTCCTGGCTGTGGACAAGGGATAGGGCCATTGTAAACAATGCTAAGAGGCTGTATTTGCCACAGATTCCTTCCCATTTGTTAATCAGTCCTGCGGTAATTGAGGAGTTATTGTGTTTTAGTAACTCTTTCCAGTTTATTGTGTTGAAAAGTCGTACTGTCTTTGCTTGGTCCACTGTAAAGTTGAATCTAAATTTTCTTAAAATTAGGTGAAAATGGTTGAAGTGGTGACTAGCTATGAGGACAGCTCCGTTTTATTGTACTGTAATCATGGATTGATTTATTGTACACATGGCAAAGAGCAGACCTCCCAGTGTATGTTTTAAACTTGAAGGCATATGCCTGAAAGATGCATTTGGAAGTGGTAACAGGCAGTCAGGTTGGTAACCAGGAGAGATTTGCGTTCCTGGAGGAGGTGGGATCTGCAGGTATATGCTGTAGTTATGGTAACCCTAAGTTCATTTTCCAATGTTTTGACTCACTGTCATTTCAATGACCCTCATACTTGTTTGGCCGTGTACCTTGATTTTTTTTTTTTTAAATTAGTTGTCGATTTGTTGTTGTTGTTGTTGAGTTGTGTGCCATCAAGTCATGTGCTATCAAGTCAATTCCAAGGCTGTAATCTTTACAGGAGCAGATCACCAGGTCATTTTCTCCAGAAGAGTAGCTGCTAACCGACTTTTTGGTTAGCAGCCGAATGCTTAACCATTGTGTCACCAGGCTTCTTAATTGCCAATTTAGCTACTAGCAATTAGAAATATTGTACTTGATATCACTGTGCTATGTTTCAAACTTGCAAATTCTTTGAGGGGGCTAAAGCAGGTATTCTTAATAAAATGTCTGCAAGATACAGGTGATGTTCAGCTTTCAGCAGTCAAATAATCATGTATTACGCCATCTACCTACCCTTATGATCCCAAAGAAGTCAGCATTGCCTTTACAGCTTGCGTTTGCTGATGTGTTTTGCATCTGACTGTGAGGGAATTGCTTAGCATTTAATAGTTCCTTTAACTAGTATTTGTTCAATGTTTACTGTATGTTGAGCCCTGCCCAATTCTTCACATGCATGATCGCATTTAATCCTCATAAAAGCCCTGTGAGGGAGATACTATTTTAATCTGTTAATCTGCCCAGACATCACTACGTATGTCTGCTGGTGTCAGGATATGAACTAGGGCTCTCTGATTCCCAAGCCTGAATTCTGAGCCTGTGTGCCCAGCAGGACCTTCTGAAATAGCAGTATTCATATTTGGTGGGTACCGCACACATTTGTTGTCTAAGTTACAGCCCTGTGACGTCTTTCGGGTCAGGTGAGAAGTGGTTCCAGGTTTTATTCTCACTGTAAATAATAAGGACAATTTATAAGTATGTTACTGAGTTATTTGTTCTATCCCTGACAGCTCCCTACATTGCAGGCAGTGGGCCAGCTCGAGCATAGCAGCCCTTGGTGATATTTTTCCATCTATGACTAACAAAACAATTATAATGCCTGCTATTTATTGAGCCCTTGATCTATGCTAATTGTCCTACTGCATTTTTGTGTGTGTTTCATTTACACATATTAAAACTTAATGGCATTAAAAAAACCAAATCAGTTGCCGTTGAGTTGACATCCCACTCATGGCAACCCCAGGTGTTGAAGAGTAGAACTCTGCTCTGTAGGGTTTTTGTGGCTGTGAACTTGCAGAAGTAGATTGCTGGGACTTTCTTCCAAGGTGCCTCTGGGTGGGTTTGAACCACCAACCTTTAGGTTAGTAGTGATGGCTTAACTGTTTGCACCACCCAGGGACTTGTTTAATGACATTACAAAGTGGCTTGTTAAAATCCTCAATGAGGTAGGCTTTATTCCCATTTTCCTGCTGAGGAACTAGGGTTAGAGAAGACCAGCCAGTCGCCCAGTTAGCTGAAGCTTCTTCAGGGCAGGGTGTGGTCTTGGGCACACTCTGTTCTCTGCGCCTAGAATGGTGCCTTGAGCCCCTGTCACAGTGGGATTCGCACTCCACTCCAGGTCTGTCTGATTCTGCACACCTCCCTTGGAACACAGTGGCCCATGAGAAGACCCCTGTTAGCTGTCAGGCCGAGCCTTTGTTGAGAACAGGGCCGACGTGGCTGGTACCTGATCTTGAGATGAGGTGTGAAGTATAGTTGGATTTGAGAGAGGAGGTCCCTGCAAGGTAACCCCGCTGAGGTCTTGGGTGGGGTGTGGGCTTTGATCCGGACTGGAGCAGGAATTATAGGAAAACTTCGCCTTGGCAAGAGGAAAGGGGATGTGGGGAGGAGGGAACATGTGCTTGCTGCAGGTGGTGTACTGGAAACAAGGTCATCCTCCCTGTGTTCCTCTGGTCTCTTTTTTGACATTTGTCCCTGCAGTCCATTGACATGGCAGCTGGAGCCCTATTTCTTGTTGACTGCAGTTTTTCTCTAGTTGTAGTCTTCCCAGAGTCTTTTAAATTACCCCCTTGGAAAAAACCCAAAAAACTCGTATGCCTGTTTTTAAAATTTTAGTGAAGGGTACAGAACACAAGATTTATGTTTGTGCAAGTTTAATATAATTCCAGTGATGGCCTCTTTGATTTTTCAGATTTGCAGTTGACCAAGATGCTGAGCAGGAGGAGGGAACAGGGAGGAGAGGCTTCCCCGTGATTGGCCGCCCGGTTCTCACTTGAGCGCTCTCAGTCAAGCTGGGGCGGGTCACCTCTTACTGAGAAGGAGCCTCTGGGAGCAAACTCTTGACAGGTAAGTTAGCTTATGTTTTCACTGGTAATGCTTTTCTTTGCAATGGAATTGTCTGAAATGTGGACTAAGGAGATGGCTAAACGCACGTCATTGGAGGCATCGGGTAGATCCTTTATTCCTTGTGTCCAACTGGAGTCTTTCCATCCTTTCTGTTTCCTCCCTCTCCCGTTTGCTGCTCTTTGGAGGAATGTACGCTGTTAGAGATGGATGGAGAGCCTAGGCTGTGCTTGAGCCGGGCCCTGCAGACCCCTCCGTGTGGGCAGGCTGCTTCCCCTCCCGGGGCTCCCCACTTGGAGGTGACGTGGGGATGATAATGCCTGCCTCCCGGGTAAATGCTTGCCAAAACGTGGTATGCTCTTAAAAGTTGAAAGCTGTGATTTTTGAAGGTGGGCTAGAACAGAGTAGGAGTCGGGGGGCTTGACTTACGCCCTGTGGGTTAGCATGGCACATTTCAGTCTGCCCCTGTCTTTCACTGAGATAAAGGGGCACACACAAATAAAGAGATTCCAGGGGGCAGATGTTGGTGCCTCCTCCCCTTAGTGCTTCAGCCTGAGGCAGCCTTTTCTCTTTCAGCCCGTAGGCCGTGCTGTAGTGGATCAGAGAGAGTAGTTGACGATGCCAGCCAGGGCTGCAAGCAGAGTCAAGGCCGGCACAGTTACCCCGTAAACATGCCTAATATGCTCCCCAGGGTGGGTGATGGGTATTGGATATGAAACCCTGGCCAAAGGGTAGAAGGGAGGGTGGGGGATTTGGTTCCTCCCCGTCTACTGCCCTTGGTACTTTTGTGTAGGGCTCCCTTTTCATCTTACCTCTCTCTCTTTCCCTTTTTTTTTTTGCATTTTTTAAATGTCTGCCCTTACTTTTTTTGTCCTCTTTGTTTGTCTTTTGGGTGGTGCAAATGGTTAATGTGTTTGGCTGCTACTCAAAAAGTTAGAGGGTCAGATCCACCCAGAAGCACCTTGGAAGAAATGCCTGGCAATCTACTTTTGAAAACTTAGCCATGAAAACCCTATGGAGCACAGGTCTACTCTGACACATGTGGGGTCGTCATGCGTTGGAGTCGACTTGATGGCATCTTGCTACTGGTTTTCTGTCTTTTACTGTCTTTGGACTTTTCCTTAACCGTCCGTCATGCAGAACAGAAGGATTTTTATCTGTCACGTTGATTAGATTCATTCAGCAAACACATACTGAGCATTACCCTTGTGCTAGACGCTACTAACATTGGACATTTCTTCTTCTAAGTTAAAAAAGTGCAACTGTGGATGGTTTTGCATTTCTCTCTGGATAGCTAACATGAAAGTTAATTTTTTTCTGGGGTGTAATTCTTTTTTCCCTGTGAGTCAGTGACCCTTAGTAGAGAGAACTTCTCCCTGTGTGGGGCTAGAAGCAGTAACTGCAGGTCCTTGTGTGCTCTGCTCTAGTCACGTGGAGGGAGGCTCATTTCCAGTGAACCATGAACCCACCCCCCAAACTCCCACCACCCTCTTGAGGGAACAGGTTGTCCTGTCGGGAGGACTGTTCTTGTGATCCTTCTTCACTTTCTCTCTCACAGAATAGATGAATGGAGGTAACAGGAGTGTTCTATCTCTGACTTTTCACAAAAGATGTAGAAATAAAGTTTAATAAGAGAATTAATTATAGTTAATTGCTCCATACCTGGTTTTAACATTTATGAACATATATTATTTTTAGTTATTAAGTCAGCTCTGACCTACTGAGACCTTATGTACGACAAATGAGACATTGCCCGGTCCTGCACCATCTTGTGGTATTTGATGTATTTGAGTCCATTGTTGTGGCTTTTGTTTCAGTCCATCTCATTGAGGGTTTCCCTCATTGTCACTTGACCCTCTACTTCATCCACCATCACGTCCTTTTCTGGCGATTGGTCTTCCTTGATGACGTATCCAAAGTAAGCAAGCCAAAGTGTTGCCATCCTCACTTCTAACGAGCATTCTGGTTGTATTCTTCTAAGACTGATTTGTTCATTCTTCTGAAAGTCCACGGTATAGTCAGTATTCTTTAATAACACCACAATTTGAATGTGTCAGTTCTTCTGTCTTCCTTTTTCACTGCCTAGCTTTCACGTACACATGAGGTGATTGAGAAAACCATGGCTTGGGTCAAGCCAGATGCACCTTAGTCATCAAAGTAACATCTTTGCTTTTTTCTTTTTTTTTTTATGAGCACAGTCCTCCCTTTTCAGCTTCTGAGACCTAGGATGCAGGTCCAAGGCTGCTGAGTTCTTTGTCTTGCCACCCTGCTCTTAGCTGCTCATTTCAGATGGCGTGTCCTCCCTGAAACGTAAACCAGGCTTGTGTGCTGAAGGAAGGTGATTTGGCGAGTGCAGGCTAGGGGATGATGTTCTCGTGTTGAGACCCATCCTCCCTGGACCCATCTGCTCCTTTGTGCTGCGAGAGATCCTTCGTCTACAACAAGGAATTCATTGTGAGTGATGCTGAGATTTCTTGAGGTTTAGGACTGTTTTTGTTTTTGGCAAGCATTTACAGTGTTGAAGAGACACATCTGGAAAAAGCCAAAATAAATAAAAACTCCCTAGGCACGCCTCTACCCCCATTTCTTGACTCATCTAACCTACCATATAATTCTTGTCTTTTTTCTTTTTGGTCCTTTTATTTGAAGGGAGTTCTCCTTCAAATGCATGAGCCTCTGAATTCCCATAGCCTGATCAGGAAGCTCTTGGCATGGACACAGGTTGAAATGAAATCTAGTTTCACAGTTAATCCTCCTGTTTTGGGCTTGAAATCTAATTATAGACGGCCGCTTAAGGAGTAGGGGCTGCCAGTGTGGAAAGCAGAGTGTGGTGACAGTGCCCGCTCTGTCCTCTGAGGGTGAGGAGCCAGGTCTGCTGCAATTACCGCCCTGTTTCAGGAGTTTGATCCAGAAATGAGTGGGTGTATTGAGTATGGAGTTAGCCCACCAGAGATTGCACTGGGGAAGGAATTTTCTACTTTTGTAGCCAAAACTCTTTTTTCTCATGCACTCAGTGTGACACTCTCTTACCTATAAAGTGAGTGTGGCTCCCCAGCTGGAGCTGGGGGTCTGGAATTCCCAGAGTCTAGGAGTCTGCAGGATAGCAGGTCCGAGGGACATTCATGCTGTCGTGGGATTCATTTGCTTCTGGAAGTATATGCTCCTGTTTGTTCCCTGTGATATCCAAACAACCGTGACTGTCCTCATGTGTGGTTCTCCAAGGATAAGTCTGAGGCACAAAGTTTCAGATTTTTTAAAAGCCAGATTGTTTTGATTGATTCCATGGCTATACATTGCACTGTTAACCCTGGCTAGCCAGGTGGCAGGGGGGTGTACAGACCTGTGGACTCCACGCCCCTGTCATTCCCACGGGCAGTCTGGAATGTGTATCCACTCAGAAAGGCAGTGTCCACCCTGTCTGTGGGACTGAGTAGGGTCACAGAGCATCCTGTATGAGCCCTGGATTAAAGAGAGCAAATTTGATACCAAGTTAAACTCTGCTGACTAGAATATGTTGCCTAATGTATTTGATTGAAACCCTTGTGGATTGGCTCTCTTTTTCCTAATTCTTTTCTATTCATTCCATAAATTCCTACTGAACACCCCTTGGTACCAGGCACTGTTCTAGGTGCTGGAGGTCATGTACTCTACTTGCCTACATGGACCTTATTCTCTAGTACAGAGATGTTCTGTTAAGAACGCAGGTTCTGTTCTTTCTGACAGTTGAAGTTCAGTCCCCTGAGGTTTGAGAACAATTATGCAAAAAATAACAGGCTCTGAGAGGAGCCAGTCAGTGGCCTAGAGGGAAGCGGTTGTTGTCAGAAGCTGGCTTCAGTGTGTGCAGGGCCTGATATTGGCTAGGCCCACAGTGGGATCATGGTCTGGGGGTGGCGGAGCTGTGGACAATGGACTGCGGGGTCAACTGGAGTTCAGGGCGGCCCCCCCACCCCCCACCCCACTGTCCTCCTTCATTCTCCACTCACTCTCAACAGCCCTAGGGGAAAGATGAATTGTTTGGCTTCCTATGAAGTACAATCAAAAGACAAAAATAATTGCCAGAATTCTGTCAATACTTGTTAGGAGCCCAGTGTTGGTAAAGTAAAGTGGACACTTTTTTAAACCTGCAGTACTTAATGAAGTAGGAAGAATCATACTTCAGTAATCTTTTTCTTAATACTTCTTTTTATTGTGGTAAATATATAGGTGATGAAAGACTTGCCAATTCAACCATCTTCACAGGTACAGTTCAGTGACATTAAAGATGTTCGTGTTGTTCAAACAACACCATCAACCGTTCCTGAAATTTTCCGTCACCTTTAACAGAAGCTCAGTGTCCCCTAAGTGTTCTTCGATAATCTTTTGATGGATAATAACTTGTCAGTCCCCTGTGCACTATCATGTTGCATCATTCTGCAGATTCAAAACCCCAGCTATTTCTTGCCGTTGTTTCTGTACATTAGAAATGAGAGAAGATCTGACTGCTGACGTGTAGCCTCTCAGGTCGTCTTGGTGCCTTGGTTTTGGTGACTGCGATATGTCTGTAAGACAAGAATTTCTCAAGAGAACTGAAATCATAAAAATGCTAATAAGTATTGATAAGCTTCTGACAACTTTGGGTATCTGAGCTTTTAGGGATAAGGTAACAGGCATTATTTTTTGGAGCCTAGTGTTTTTAAGCAGTCTCAAATTCAGACAAAATGTACTGCAAGAAAAAGTAGTTAGTATAGTGTTTAACATAAGTCATAAAGCTAAACACCCAACTGGGCCACAACCTCTCTGGAAGCCGTAGCCTCTGAGAATGTGGATCGTGACACCTAGTCCCGCCCTGGGAATGTTCCCAGATGGCGCGAGCGGTTTGTAGGGAAGCAGATGATGATGCAGAGAGTATGTGCTGTGTGAAAAGAGAAGGCACAGGTTCTGGGTTCAGAGACCAAACAATAATACAAATGACAACAGTATCAATAATCGCTAACACTGACTGTACTTCATATGTGCCAAGCACT